AAGGGACAACTCTAAGAGCATAATCAATAAAATATGTATTTTTAAAAAGGACATGCATTTGCCATATATTTTTAAATGTTTACTTTTAGAATAAAAGGGAACTTGTAAACTATTTGGAAATTACAAAAAAAATCTTTAATCTCCTTAAACCAAAGATAACTATACTCAACACTTTGACATTCATACTTGGACTTTGCATGAAAAAAAATAGTTATACTAAAGTTACACATTTTCCTGTGTGTGCCTTTAGAGATGTGTTAAAATGTGCGTAAAGGCTATAAAACATTTTGTTCAGTAAGATGTATCATAATTTAATATCAATTAGGTCATTTAGGATGCTTCTGTCTTAAATTTTAAAAACAACACTGCAATTTACATACTCTTGCATATTAATCTTATAGTGCATCTATGAATATTTCCTTCAGTTAATTTAATTTTTTAAAAGATTCTATTTGTTTATTTTTAGAGAGGGAGGAAGGGAAGGAGAAGAAAGGGAGAGAAAACATAAATGTGTGAGACACATATTGACCGGTTGCCTCTAGCACATCCCCAACTGGGGACCTGGCCAGTAACCCAGGCATGTGCCCTGACTGGGAATTGAACCAGCAACCTTTTGGTTCACAGGCTGGTGCTCAATTCACTGAGCCACACCAGCAAGGGCGATAATTTAATTTGTAAGTAAAATCACCCAAAAGATATAAAATTGTTACTGTTCAATATATACTGCTAGATTGGCTGCAATATACCTTTACCAACATCTAAGCTGTCAATGTGATAGTCATATTTCTCTCATTTTTAAATCTGCATTCTTTGTATTAAACATAAAACTATTTTGTATCCTCTGCTTATTGGTTTTTATTTTTACAAATAATTGCTCTATATTACCCTCTTTATGATATCACTCATTTTCACTCCCACAGCAACTGCAACTGTGTGTTTTCTTTGGCAAAAACTTTCTTTTAACAGATGAGCAAGCACGTGTGTAACAGGCTGAAAACGGTGAATCTGAAGTATGGAATATGGCACTCTTTGTAGCAACTTCTTTGCATAGAACAAAATCTTCACGGCCTAAAAATTACTTGGGGTTTTGAAAGAGTATTTCTAAAGACCTTATGTGCACTTTCACATCTCTGAAACTTTGTAAAGACTAGATTCTCAACACATGAAACACAATCTTTCTTGTAAAAGCCTATTTCCTCCACCCACTCACTCTCCTTCAATTGGGCACTGACTCACACCTCTCCTAAAAAGCAATGACACACTGTGACAAAAGCATGTGAAATATTTTTCTTCTATGAATCTTCTCTCCCTAACTATGAAAGCTCATACAACCTTCCTAATTACAAAATGCCAAATATCCTGAGCATTTTACACACTGGTCAACAGCAAACATACAGAGTCCATTTAATCACAACATCTCATTTTCTAGAGAAGGAAGCAACTGTTCAGATGAGTATCATTCTCACGGTTGAGGAAAGCCAGGGCCAGAACCACCCTTTCCTGGTACCCAGTCCTCTGACCAACCACACTCTCCTGACCGGGTGGCACCCTGCAGTGCCGCTGAGCATTCTAGGAATGTTTCTCAATGAGAAAGGTAAGTCAGTCTGAACTTTCAAATAAATCAGAACTTAAAGATTCAAATACAATTTACTTCAAAGGAGTCAGTCAGGAAAACTAAGCAAGTATTTTCATGATGTTAAATTGATTAAAGGAGTTTTATAATTTCTCTCTGAAGGGCCAGTTTATAAGAAAATCATAATCCTTAAAATAAAGTCGATTTCATTATGGTATATATCATTTTATACTCCAACTGTTGTTACTCAGGTTTCCTTCACCTTATTTTCTGTAACTGAGTGACCGTTAGCCATTTCAAAAATTTATATCCAGCTTCAAAGCATGGAGATTGGAAGAGTAAGTTCATAACCTCTTAAGGTGTCTTTTTATATTCCTTCTCTTTCTAAAGTGGATTTGAAGTAGCTTTATTCCTATTTTGGAAAAACACTTATTTAAAGATATAAATTGTTTTTAAAAGAACATTTTTAGTTATACATCATGCAATCATGTACCTACAGAAAAGTCAAACTATATTTAGAGGGCAACCCAAAGATAAGTATGGCAAATATACTGAATATATACTTAAATATGCAGGAAAAATGTATTTTAAAGTACATATACCAGAATGTAAATAATAACATCCATTAAGAGAGAGGATTATGAGACATTTTAATTTTTACCCACCTGGACTTTCTTACATTCCTACTATGGCTATAGAGCATGTACACAGTTAAAATGTGTGTGTGTGTGTGTGTGTGTGTGTGTGTGTATGTATATATATCAAACAAAAAAGTATAAATATATTTTGTAAAAAAATTTAAAGTGATTTTTAGAGAAGGGGGGGTAGACACACACACGCCAATTTGTTGTTCTACTTCGTTGTGCATTCACTGGTTGCTTCTTGTAAGTGCCCTGACTGGCGGTTGAACCGGTAACCCTGGTGTACTGGGACCCTCTCATCAACTGAGCTCCTCGGGTAGAGCTACATGTATACTTTCAAATTTCAAGATCTAAGCATTAAAGATGCTTAATCTAAATTTGTACATCTCAATCTTTTAAGGGCTCAAAATTTGGCTCAAGAAGAAGTGTATACCTGCTTAGATACTGTAAGAGGCAGGGTTTACAAAGAAGCTTGAGGTTGGGTTTTTATCTCCTTGCCCTTCTGTATAATTCTACAACTATCTACACAGCTCAAAAAGGAAGCTTTGCTTACTACCCCTTGAAATATTTAAAACACATACCAGCAGTAATTACAGTGTTGATGACCTGAAAATGGGTCACCCCACACAACTGATTAAAACCCTCTTATGCAATCTTCCTTTGGAGGAAACAAGGACAGCTTGTACACATATTTCAACTAGATCTACTTCCTTAAGAGAAGATGGTACACATCTGTAGGTATTACAAAGTTCTAAAGGCAAAGAAAAAATTAAGAAGTTAAATTAGCCTAGTCATTTGTCCCAACCAATTTTATATTACATCATTAATTTAAGAAAGTACATAAGCTTCTGTTGTGTAGGCGCTGATAGATAAACAATGTCGACTGTGTAGATAACTTCACTTTCAAAGTTATGATGAAGCAATTGTACTACCTGGAAAAATATGATAAGACGGCTTGAGAAATAACTATATTTCTACAGGATATGTAACTGCATTTCTATAGGTTCACTGTTAGTTTCAACAAGCTATATTGTTTCCTTTCAGACTAGGAATCGGGGGTAAAAAAGAACAACTAGATTTAGCATGCCAATTTCTAGTTTAATTTTTTAGTCTAAGTAAATAGGTATTTATGAAATAATCTTGAATGACACATATGGTTTGGATATTCTCTTTGTAAAGGTTTAAAGGCTATATTGTTCAACTGCATAAAGTTTAAAATGCCTATGTAGAAAAAACACCCTAAAGTCCAGAAATAAATGGGAGACAAGAAACCACAACATGACAAGAAAGCCCTCCCAACCTGAGTGGAACCTATATTCTACCACCCTAAAGTGGCACTGGGACAAGGCTGCTGCCAGCTACACAGACAATAAAGCATTTATCCTTGGGGACTGTCCCCAAGACTCACCACCTCCCCCAGCTCTCCTCCTGGTTCGCCCTGTGATAACGCTAAAGCTTGGAGACCCCTGTGGCACTGGGGATGCTTCCAATTCAGTTGTCCATAAAATACTTCTCATTTACTTAGTTTAGAAAACTCACCTAAGGGACTCTAAAAGGAAATCATCGTTTATTCTTAAAATGAGCACCAACAGTCCCTAGCTTGAGATGGAATTAGAGATGCTCTGTAGTATTTTTACAGCATGAAGCTCTCTAAAGCATATAGAGTAGTTAAATGGTGGGAGAGAGGCTGCTGCATTTGACTGGGAATTAGTCTGTGACTACCTTAACTTTTCTGTATTAGTTACCCTAGGCAGAATTGTGGGGGCCTAGAATCAAAGCACAAAGCTCAGACTGTCTTTGATCTACCTCTTTAAAAAACCCTTTTGTTGGGGCAGGGGGGTGTGTCTAATCTCCCAGAGACCTGGTATTAGTTCCAAAGACAAGCCAGCAGCAGTAGCAAGATGTCTGAACTTTGGCAATTCCTGAACATGAGGCTCAGTGTGACTGTCAGAGAATGCTCAACAGGTCCCAATTTTATTTTCTTTTCCTTTACTAGAATTGGTCAATATTTTATAAATCATCTACAGAATTAAATTTTTAAAAGTTGGCTTAAGTTATTACCTCTACCTAAGGTAAGTTACTAGCATTCTATAATCTCAAAATATTTAAGATGTCAACCTTCAATCATATATTCCTCTATTGCATCTGACACAAAAATACCTAAATTGCCACAAAGCGCCTTAATGGAGGTGACACTTTAGAAATATCAACAATTAGGGAGGAAGAAAGAAGAAGATGAGGAAAAGTACTTCTTTATACAATCCCACTGAGGTTTCTAGTTTAGTTTCCTCAGCTGTTGAAAGGACCAAAAAGACTGGGAGTGAAGAGAACGGAAAAGGGTAATTCCTCTGCTAGGTACCCAGAGCTGGAGTGAACAAAACAAAGTAGGATACAGACAGGATTCTTCAATGACAGAATTAGAGCAGATACTGTATAATATTAATTTCAATAATCTGGCATTTAAGATAAAATTTAAGATATATTTATGATTTTACTGGTAACAGCCTAAAGGGACAGCGAGCCTTATAATTTGTTTAATCTGATCCTGAAAGAAAAATCTGGAGTTGTAATCACTACAATCAGGCAAAGAGTATAAACATCTTCTATCACATTATGGAAGTCTCCTAAAAAGTCACTATTAATTTAACCAAAGCCAAGAAAGGAAAAAGTCAGTTAACAAATTATTTCTGGAATTAATTATCTCCCACTAAATGCAGGATTTTTTTTTTCTTTTTCCTCTTTGATTTCAAAACTCTCTAAGGAGAGAAACTTGGGTAGTTACCTACCTATAGATGGAGATTTGAAAGGGTATTTATCAGGAAGATCCACTCTAACTTTCCATACTCCGCCTTCATATGGTGCTGAAAGGAGAGTAAAAATGTTATGCATTAGAAATGTCTCCAAATTAGAAAATAAACCTAAGTGTAAATTAAATATTAAATCCTAATCTCTTCTGAAAACCTTGCAAATTAATTCCCTTCAGAGTCAGGGACCTCCTATAACTTTGTATTCCTATTAGAATGCTTTTCTTAAAAGACAGAAATTAAGCAAAGATTTACTTTCTCCTCCCTCCCCCTAAGTTATCTGATTCTTTAAAGGAATTAAACACTATACAATTCTTTGGTAAGTAATAGCCTCCTATCTAAATCTATACCATGCCCCACTCAAAAACAAACAAAAAAAACCCCCAAAGCCCCCCCCACCCAAAAATAAAGAAGAAAAAAACCCCACCAGAAACAAAACTATAAAATACATTTTCCTGAACCATCAATGTAGCCATCCATACATAACCCAGAATTCACAATTCATGCTTAATACTGTCACAAAGATAAAACAGAAAAGCATATGAATTTACTATGATAAGAGCAAGATTTCCTCATTGGCTCTAGAGTTCAAGCAAATTTACTTTTCAAAAACCACACATACCACCATCCATCTTTGATATATTCATTTTCTATTAAGGAGAGTAAGACTGTAATAGAAGAACACACACCAACAAGTGTACTTACTTCCTTGTGGTCCATAAAACTTCACTACAAATTCATTGAGTCCTCCCAGGATTGTGACCTCATGCTTACTCTCAATGCTAAGGTAGAAGGTAAAGGAAATTACACAGGCTTTGTATTACCCAGAAGAACTCAGAATGACACCTCCAAGGTATGCTATTTTAGTAAGTGTTACCAGTAAAATATGAAACCGATAAAATATACAATAATTCTTGTAATTTAAAAGGTAATGCATGCTCTTGGGGAAAGAACAAGAATGGCTTTAAAGATTCAGAGGCTTGTGCTCAAACCCCAGCACTGCCACCCACTAGGTTTATGAGCCTGGACAAAATAGCGTGAACTGACTCCCTGAGCCTTTGTTCTCTCCTTGCAAATCAGGAAAACATCACTCCACAGGATTTTTGAGAGAATTAAATGGGTGAAGTAAGTAAAATGGCTAAGACTTTTTGTATGTACTGTACATAAATGATCGGCACTTAGTATTTCTCCCCTCTGTAATCTCTCCTTTCCAGGTGATCCACAAGGAGCCTCTGACATATAAACAGTATTCCATTTAGGCAAATTCAAATTCTCGGGAAAGCACTGATTCTCCTAAACTGGAGTACAGTGTGCTCGTAATTTATGAATTCACTAAGGAAAGTCCCCACAATTTTCTCCCTGGCTTGGAAAATAATCAAAATAGAGACACAACCTTGTTGCAAGTATTACTGCCAAAAGACCAGCTAGCTAGCTAGCTAGATAAATACATAACCAACCAACCAACCAACCAACCAACCAACCAACCCTGTCTGAAGTTTTTCTTTTCACCTACTCTTCCCCTCCCTCCTAAGTCTCCACCCGCCTTAGACTTGGGCGCTCTGGGGCTATAATCACAGAGGAGCAGCACTTCTGTGTTCTCTTCCTCATACCTATCCTCAAGACTCTCCCCCCTTTAAGGTACTAGAGTTCAATTACACAAACCAGACAAATCTGTCTCAGTAGAGGGAAAGGCTACTAGTCTAACACCTATTTCATGTCTCTGCTCTGTGATCTAAACCAATGCTAATTCTGATAGGACTTTGCGGCGGAGGGGGAGAGGACTTTGGGGAGCACAAAGCTGACTATAACATTAAAAAAAAGATATGACAGTCTGGTCTTGCCTTGATCTGGAAGACAAACTGTATGTACTATTATGCAAAAGAGAGAATCCAAAAAAATTTTTAAATGATCTCTTAGAGAAAGATGGTATTTTTTAAGGTATGAAATTAAGTATTGGACTCTCCATCCTCTGTGCTATAAACTACAGAACAGAGAGGCCAGGCATATTTTTGGCCAAGCTCTTGTTTAAGAACCTTGAACAATATCCACTAGAGATAGAAAATAAAATAATTTAGTCTATGCTAACTTGATCTAACTACTTTCGTAACATGTACACTGAAAGAATTCAAATAATATCCACACTGGAAAGCTGGCTTCACTTCTCATAGTCAAATGACACATGCACGCTTCGGTACAGTGAATTCTTTCTGACCACTCTGTCAGCCTACGAAATATTCCAGAGCTAATGCGAATGTCATAAATAGAAGTGCAACATGTTTAAATTGTTTTAGAACTTTAAAAAGCACCCTTGTGTTTGTGAAAGAAAAAAGTCAAATCTAGTTACAATAAACATAATTAAATGAAAGCAATAATGTCATCGAAGAAAACACTTAAAAAAAAAATCTTGGGGGGTAAAAAGCTTTAAGAATGACACGAAAGCCAGAAACCTCAAAGGAAAAGAATTGCAGATGCAAGCGCACACACACATTTAAAACTTCTATATTGTAAAAGACAATTAAGGCAAAGGATAAACTAAGAAGAAAAAAATTATAGCATATGGCCAAAAATTTGGGTTTTTAAAAAGAGTTTTTTTTTTTAAAAAGCAGTAAGCACAAGTGGCCAAAAAAAAAAAACAAAACAAACAAAAAAAAAAAAACACAAACCCATGGCGGGGGGGAGTGGCAAGGACAGCCAAGTTGGAAACTTCAAATGAGCAAAATTAAGCTATAAAAAGTTCAATTCATTAGTTTAGAACTGAAACAGTTTTCACTATAAATTGATAAAGATGAAAGCTGGATAAAACCTAGTGTTCGGTGGCATATAAATGAGTGTTCCTGAAAACAAATTTAGCATTATATTCCTGAACTTAAAATGAATTTACTCTTTTTATTCAAATTGCACTCCAATGAAGTTATGTTTTAAAAATAACCAGGCACTGCTGGTGGGAGTGTGAAATGGTCTCAGTCGCTGGAAGACTTGGCGCTGTAAGCTGCACACATGCGCACCCTATGCCCATCAGGGCTACTTGTCTAAGAACGCTCACAGCACCATACGTAATATCCAAAATTAGGCTACAACCCCAAGGTTCATCAACAATAAAAAGGGTAAATTATAAAACAATCACCCAACAGAATATTATACACCAATAAAAAATAAATTGCTACACATAAGTGTAAAAGCAGGGGACCCCCCCCCCCCCCGCAGAAACCCCTGGAATTATCTTTAGAGGGCAGGCCCCTTGTAGTACAGGCTTCCCTCGCTGGGTGAGTGCTCTAGAGATCAGAGTACGAGCTACTGTTGTTTTGAGAGGCTGTGTTCAGTCTCAGTGAATTTTTTCTTAAGGCTCAACGCGTTCGCCCATTTCATGAAGGGTGATTTACCAGCGCACGTCCACACCACACTGAGTGCTCAGCAGTTTTGACCAAAAACGACATGACCCTGGTGTGCCACCCTCCCTATTCACCCAATCTTGCCCCAGCAACTTTTTTGTTTGTTTGTTTCCACGGATGAAAAAGTCCTCAAAAGGAAACGTTTTGTGGCTGTGGAAGAGGTGAAACAAAAAACAGCAGAAGCACTAAAAGTCATTAAAATCGAATAGTTCAAAAACTTGAGCATAAAAAAAGTCTCAGTAGGTGTATTGCAGCAAATGGAGAGTACTTTGAAGGTGACTGAAGTTTAAACATGTAAGAATATACAGTATTTTATAAGTAAATTCCAGTTATTTTGGGGTCTCCCCTCACATAAGTCTTACAGATATAATAGTGAAAGAAACCAGATACCAATAGCATATGAGGCAAGATCCCACTTATACACATTTCAAACAGGATAAACAAATCAATGGTGTTAGAAATTAGGATAGTGGTTACCCTAGTGGGGACTGTGATCATTGGAACGGGCCTTGAGGGGGACTTTTGAGGGGACGAATTACACCTTTATTGTTCCATTTATCATTGAACTATAAAAATTATTTATGTACTCTTTGCATATATTTTGTTGTTTAATAAAAAGTCCTAAAGACAGTGTGTCTGACACTGTTTACTGAACTATTCGAAATTTTAAAATGGAAATAATCTAAATATGTATCATTAGGAAATTGGCTAAATGAATTATAAACCATTTATACAACAGGCTGCTACTAGTGTCTACCTCTGCCCACCCAGAGCTCCACCAGCGTTTGGTTCCGCTCAATGTGGGCTATCCAGAAGCAGCAAATGGAACACCGCAGCACAGATAAAGATACCCCAGCCATTAAACAAAACTGAAAAACCTACAAGGATAATGAGAGAATGGAGTAAGGTTTAAGATTAAATGAGTTTAATAAAAGACGCTGTAACCTAATTTTATAATATATAAATCTGTAGGAGTAGAATCCATCAATCAGAACTAATATGGATAACAATGATCTATGGCAATTACTCTTCATTAATCACTTAAAATTATGAATTATCCATACAGACATTTCTTCTAGAAAACTGAAGAAATCTCTTCTCTCTCTTACATGATGCAATAAATCCAGGTTTCTTCCATCTTGTGGTGTGTTTGGGATATAGTCCATGCTTCTGTCCACTCCCCAAAGAAGATTCTCCTTTCCGTCACTCCTGACCCTCCTCGTCCCCGTGACCAGAGATCAATGGTCCAAACCTCCTCCTTCCCATAATCCCTGGTACAATCAACACACCAGATACCCTGGGTCTGTCTTTAATTACACACTATACCATAAATTAAAGAGTTCTCATACAGTCCATGTCATATGAAAAGCTAAAAGTGGAATGAAACCTTTAAAACTTCTACCAAGTTGGTAAAATAAGAGGCTGCACTAAATTTATGCTGCCTTGTAATGGGGTACAGACACTAAATCAAATGGAAAAAAGAATCTTAGTTCAGTTGAATGGAAAACCCTGCATTAAAAATAAGCCATTCCATCATCACAAATGAATAACTTGTCCACAAAAAAATACAGAATTACTTGACTGCTGTTACCATATGTACTTATGGTAGAGACCACGTGTTTCTTTCTCCTCTCTGCTGCAAGGTCAAGGACAAGGAAGGCAATGAGAAGGCAGGGAACAATGATAAAAATAATGATTTATTTCTGAGATACGCTGGTCAGACTACCAGACTGGCAGAATTCACAAGAAGCTTCCTTCATTACTTTCTCAGTTTCAGAGCTTAAAAATATCCTTCAGATACAGATACATTCTGATAAAAATATATTAAACCCATAAAAATCACATTTTATTCACCTCTGATCTAAGTTATTTGTGACATACTGCTTTTTACTTACTTAGCATTTCACTATTACAGAATAGTATCAGCATTTTCAGTAGACTAATGATTAACATTCCTAGGAACCCGAGTTCATTTTACTTTTAAAATGCCAGCCACCCACCACCTTATTCCCTGAATGGTGTTATGATTACACAATCTAATATTTAAAGGCTAATGCCAAACTGTCAAGAGATAACTGACATTCTTGGCAAAACGTGTCTATCAAGATTTTAGAAATAATTTTTATATAATTCTGGAATTTTCCAGAAAGGGAGCCAAGATGTAAGCCTGTGTCACAGACTGATGTTAACAGGTCAAGGACATAAGATTCAGATGGCATTGTTTTCTAAGCTTCCTAATAATGAGTTTATAAAATAAAAGAGAGTGGCCTCCCTGGGCTGTGTCCATACAAATGAGGATCTGGGTTAAAGAGATGTGCTTCTTTGCAGAAGGTAAAAGCAATCTGTATAGTATTCTCACTGTATGTTCAGACAGTCTGCTTACAGTTTGCCTT